TTTATTCAACGTTTAACAGGCAGAAAAAGATGATCTTACTCCTTTACCCCAAGATAAGGACTCACCCTGTCAATGAAACACTGCAGGAACCATTTGGTGCTGTAAATGCCTGCAGACATCTGCTCCTTGTCCTTGAAATAGAGAACACGAGTCAGAATTAGCACGTATCCTGTTTGCTAGAGCGTTACTCCAAGTTTTTCTAAAACAGAAAAAACTGATCTCACCAGATGTTTCTTCAGTTTGGGAACGAGCTTGGAAATAATCTGATCATGATGTGCCTGGAATCTCTGAAGTTTTGGAAAGCCTGGAACAAAAAAGCCTTAACAGGGCAGAAGGGAAGCGAGAACTTTTTAATCTAATTTCATGTCAGTCCAAACCAAATCTGACAAGCAGTACAGTTTGTAATCAGTTCCACCACCCGCAGAGCCAAAGACTGCCATCTGCATGGTTGGTGCAGCTGCAGGAAAACGATTTCAGTGTTTAGCTTCATCGTATCTCACAGACATGCAGAGAACACGTTTGCTGTTAATGTTCAGACGAATGGGATGTCTCACCATGCATGGCGTGTTTCTGGTTGGTGAGCAGCTGTGACAGGGCCCAGAAAGCGTCTTCCTCATTCATGTACATGAGCAGCAGGGCGGCAATCTGACTCATGCCCTGGCAGTAGCTCACCTCCTGCAGGAAACGTGCAAAAAGACCCCAATAATGGGCTTTCTGCTGTTGTGGTAACTGTAACTGACACTAGGTTAACACAAGTTAACACAAGACTATCAAACAATTATTCACTTTTTGTCATCATCCTGTGGGACCATCCTCCGCCACGGATACTAGTTTTATTATTATCAGCAGTAGTGTTATTGTTGTATTTGTATATTCTATAGTCAGTGTTGGGGAGTAACGGAATACATGTACCGCCGTTATGTATTTAAAATACAAAATATGAGTAACTGTATTCCGTTACAGTTACCGTTTAAAAAGGTGGTATTTAGAATACAGTTACTTTGTTGAAATAAATGGAT